AACTCCATTTCTGATTTCAATGGTGACAGACGAGATAACTCATGATCTGTATGAAGCAACACTATACGGCAAGCTTTATGCCGATGACACACTGCTGAGTAATGAAAGCAGAGAAGCAACAGAAGCACAAACCAAGGTATGGAAAAGAATACTACGGAATAAGGGCCTTCTGCAGAGCAAAGGACAATCAGAATATATGGGGCTATTTCAGTGGGGAGAACAGATTAAAAGCCAGAGAATCATTGCAGATGTCAGAAGTCTGATGCCCTAAACCCAGGAATCCAAGCAGCCTGGTTCCAGCCTTCAAAACAGTCGTGAACTGAAAACCAGTCAGAAAAAAACATGGCTCAAGGGGAGAGAGGTGAGCGGTATACTGCGCGACAAGAACATGCGCATCAAGAAAAAGTTTACAGGACGATAGTAGGACAGGAACTTTTGTACTAAGCGGAATGCCTGGCTACCCTGAAGAGATATGAGCAACAGCTGAAACAGAAATGCAAATGTTGAGATTGCTGTGTGGTGTCAGCACAACGGACAACACTAGAAATACCTTCATCAGCGACATCTGAGGTGTAGCACCAATTTTGGTAAAGCTGAACGAATGCAGGCTCGGTTGGCTCGACCATGTGAAATAAAGATCTGCCAAGTACGTTGAAAATCTGGTTCAAGCACTGATACTGCAAGGGAAGAAGAAAAAAAGAAATCGAAAGAAAATATGGCACGACGTCGTAAAAAACTAACAAGAAAGTGAAAGAAGTGGCAGAAGATTTGACCAAAGGCTGAAAAATGTCTTCCAAATATTCGTGGAGGAAGTTCGCACGAACATCGTAGCCTTGCTAAATGGACGAAGCTAAGAGAAAAGTTTTGTTACTGAAAACCCAAAACATGTACATCCATACGATCTATAATTTTGTCTTGCTTCAATCCGCTACTTTAATTATTATATCATTATTAACTCGAGAGTTTTAATGACTTTAAATGGCGAAGTTAATTAAACGGCATTCGCTATTTTAATGTCTTACGGAAACGCACATCAACTACTATAGATAAAGAAATTTACGCCAATCGAAGGCGATCAGCACTACCCTGACCACAGCATATGGCGTAGCCGACCAATTGATACACTGATTTGTTTTGCTTAAATTAAACCAGTTTTATGCTGCGTTCGAGTGTGACTATTAACGACGGAATAGGATATTCCTCCACCAGACATATGATGTATATCACGGTGTTGCGCACAGCACAAGTCATAACATGATATATGCAACTTTGGCGTTGGCCCATATTAGTTATAAAATGCTACTCACCCGCCAATCCGACTTTCACACTGTTAGCCAATCGAACCGCATCTGCCTCAGATTCGAACCTAAAATACGTCAATAATTAACGGTCCATTTGCCAAAAAAGAAATCTGCTTCAATACTGCGTAATCGCAACCACTGGGCCGAAAATCTCCTCCTGGTCAATATCCATGCGTTGATCGATTCCGCTCAAAACGGTCGGTTTATAAAAGCATTTGCCGGCGGGATGCCTTCCGACACCGCAGTGCACCTTGGCCCCCTTCTTGACAGCGTCGTCAACCAGTCGCTCGACCTAAACAGTGATTGTTGCGTAACGGATTTCTGGGCATTCAATGGAGAACACTTTGTTGACGGCACTTTCGTTGATCAGCGGCCCTTGGGATACACCGGTCTGGCAGCCATTACCGACAACCAACTCGCCCCTCATTGCTGTCGTCAGTTGATCGACAAAGTCGTCGAATACCGAACGATGGACGAAGAAGCGGTTAGCGCAAACACACGTTTGGCCACTGTTCCGGAACTTGGAAGCCATTGCACCCTTTACGGCCTCCCCTATATCCGCAGAAGCAAACACGATGAATGGAGCATTGCCGCCCAGCTCCAGACACATTCTTTTCACAGTACTGGCTGACTGACGCAGCAGCAACTAAAATATGACTTCAATTCAAAGCTGCTGAAAATCCACTAGAAATAAAGGCTAATGCTAAACTTATAATAAATCCTGATATAACATACATATTCAAATTACACTGGACATAGCAGTAAATGTTTACTGTTTGAATAAGATGATAAATCATCTATGTTGCATCAAAAGTATATAAGCTATAAGACACATGTACAGTAAATTGGGCAATTTTCGGAGTATCGGCACAGTGGCTAAGAGGAAGGCGGTGAACTTCGGAGCTGCCAGGTTCAAATTCAATCAAAGGACAAACTTTGTCTTAGCCAAGACTTCCCTTGAGAAAGGAACTAACCTCATGCTGCTTCGACGCAACCAATAGAGAAACGGGTAGTAAGGCGGTGACTTGTAGATAACAGGGACAGCATGTTCATGCCAAAATGGACGAAGTGTGCGGACATGTTGTTTGCGGCGAGCGTTCCTTAATGTCTGCATTGCGATTTGACCCACCTGATAGCCGGTTGTAAGGAGTAAAAATTAGCAAGGGGTGTAAACGATTAACTACGTTCAACCACACGACGATTCTAATTACACTTGGCTGTTCGTTACCAACTTTCGATTTTTCTAACTTCGTCGCCGGTAACCAACTACTAACTATTACTAGTAAATAACAGAATAATAGCAAAATAGATATTAGCTGAATAATAATATCGCATATAATATTATAATAGCTATATCAGATCCTTCCAATTAGCAGCTAATACACGTAAATTGGTTAAATGTTGTAAAAGTGTGCAACAAGCGATCAATCCATCAAATAAGTATGACGTTCTTAAATATACTGATTTTTTTCGCTACTCATTAGGTAGAAAATGAGCATACGAGCGCGATAGACTGGCATATTAGGGCTAACTAATGAATAACTGTCAGTGATGCAAAGTAACTACAAAACTGTATTTATTTCGTTTATAAGTTTTTAAATTACGAAGCTCATGGAAACCTAAGAAAATGATTTATGTGCTATCCAAAAAACAGACGATAATAAAAAAGTGATTTTGGTTGCATCACACAAAGGAACGTAGAGTAAAGAATATCATTCATGACACTTAAACTGTTAAGAGAGAACCATGGAAAATAAAAGTTACTCTGAATTATACAGATCCTTCTGAAGAAAGGACATTGTAAATGAACTGTATAGAGTTCCTCTTGTTACGATTCGACATGGAGAGCATTACTATGCTAATCAGTAAACTTGATACGCTATTAAGTACCAAGCAGCACTGCTAATTAATAAATATTAGCTAGTCACTCCTAAGTACTGAACTAATAATAAATAGCATTTAATTATATAATGTAACAAGGAAATGTTGCTTATTCAACAAACACCATAATGAACTCGATCGTTGCTAAGGTTCATATCCAAAACATGTTTGATTAATGTATCGGCATAGGATTACCATAAAAACCATGAAGTCTACCAGCTTTTAGGTTCATGCATTTACCACCTGTGAATCATATCGAAACAACTATGGACTAATAACTACAGCAAAAAGTGAGTAATTACCATTGACAAATTGCTGCATAAACCATTATGATCTGTCGTCCTGCCTATGACTTACACTATTATCAAGAAGTTTCAATTATAATTTCTAAATACGTGAACCCGTACTTCTTCATAAGTATCGTCTGAGCCAGGCTGATTTAGAAGACGTGTCTGCGCTTTTACGTGCGTCCTGCAGGTGATCTGTGCAAGCTACGGCATGGCTTCATACAATTTCTTTTAAGCCCTCGCTCTGAATAAGAAGACAATGCAACAAGTCTGTGTAACACATTGTATCTAGTATATATGTTCAATATAATTCCGAACATGCTGTAAAGCAACATGTACACCTGGTTAGAAAGAACGCCCAAGTTCAGTTACTACGTACCTTTCCAACGTCTGTGCTTCCCGTAAAAGATATAACCGAAATTTTGGGCGACTCGCACATGAACTGACCAACAGCGGCAGTTTTTATCGCATCCGAAGGGCAGACGTTAAACACTCCATCCGGGATTCCGGCTGTTTTCGTCAGCTACACTGGTCGAAGAAAACTTCATGTAAAACAAAAGCAAAAATATGCAAATCAAGCAGACGTAAACGGAAAGGAACGGTCAAAATACAATCGGCATCTCTAAAGCAAATTTCAAAAAACACCTGGTTGACAATCTTCCGAAGCAAATGTCTGTCATTCAAATCACTAAAACCACAGGAATCTAATGAAAGCAATTAATACTGTCCTTGCAGATATGCTAATGAATATCGGTTATAAAAAGACACCCAAAAAATCGGTCAGTCAGCTAACGAATTAGTTCGTAATACTTACATAGGTAAAATCAAATCATAGGTAATGATATTATTATTTAGGAAGCTACGTCTACTACATCAACCAGTCAGACATACTATTAGTTAATTAAATGCATGACATTACCTAGTCAATATATCATGACACAATCACTTGCTATCAAAAATCACTTACAAAACCTCCATTTTCGGTCGGTCAATCAAAATCAGGTACCATAAAGTTAGTCAGCAGTTAAGCAAGTATTCGTAATTGGAAGGAAGAAAACGAAAGCTTGCATCAGTCGCAATCTCGTTGTTCCTTAAACTTTCACGAAGTGTATGGTTGGGCGTCGACCCGCATGACCATACCATCAGTCATGTATGCATTATTTTACAGAGAGAGAGTTGACAGCCGCTATCTGTCAAGCACTGTGCGCGTAGTTCCCTGCCTCTTTTCCCAAGTGGTACTTATTTATCAACCTAGTAATGAAGAAAAACGAGTTAGTCAACCGAGCCTCTTGCTTCTGAGTCCAATGTTGTACCGACTTAGTTAGGCACTCATAATTCGTACTTACTCTGTGAAAAACCAGCAATAAGCAAATCAGTCCTATTATCAGTTAATCAACTGTTACATAAACGAGTTAGCTATATAATTAGACAGTCAGTTTTGGTTGTAAAAATGAGGGAGAAAAATTAACACTGTTGAAAAGTATTAGATAATATTATATTAATCAGCAATTAAGTTGGTATTCGTGGTTACTGAAAATAAATTAGTAAACGCCAGTCAGTCTACTTATTAGTTGATCAACTGCATTGTGAACGTTAGTCATTCATCAAGTTAGATAATCAGTTGCTGTTGTGGAAAACTAGAAGTAATCTTCTTCGGCCTGTTATTATAACAGTGAATGTTAAGTTGAATAACAGCACTTACTTAACTACTATTAGTCAATCAATTAACTTAATAACAAGACAATTAGCAACGTTATTGGTATTTTAAGCAACCGTGGTTACCACTGGTCGAAAATAGACCCAATGCAAAGAGGAGCTAGCGGCAGTCTACAGAAATAAGAAGCATGGAAAATTTTCCACTAATAAATTAATCATAAATGTTTATAACTCAATTAACTTTTCGAACAGTGAAAATAATCTCATCTGCGAAACTGTCCCCCTGCTTGAAATGGAAGATTTTCGATAAATGCTTACTCCCAGTGTTGAAGTATGCATACGAAAAACTGACACTAAGAATGAATAGCTGTTCACAATTAGCAACAAGGTGTATGCTGAGAATAAAATGGAAACATAGAAAGGCGTATTAATGAATACGAGCACAAACGGTTGTCTGTGGCGTCACTGTAAGAGCAAAACGTTTGAAACGGGGCAATGGGTAAGACACATTTTAAGAAAATCCCTACCATCGCTGAACCGAAAAGGTATTAAACAAGGGTTTAAAGAGACAGTACATGGTCCGAAGAAACATCTATGCTGATTCGATGGCTGGATGAACTAAAAAAAATTTTTTGTGGCAGCGTGCCTCAGGATCGCAGAAGACAGTTTGTAGTGGCAAAATCATACGAAATCCTTCATACAGAGCGGAGGATCGAAAGAAGCTGGTGATGTGTTTAAAACGGATACCTCAGCCAGAGCCAGCGCAGACAAAGGTGTGTCTTCAGCAGGTTTTATGACGCATGGACAGCCGCATGCGAGGGCAGCAGCCGCCTTACGGGCAATCATAGCGATAGGAAAGTTCCACTAAAACATAAACGACAAAACCATCGCTTAAAAGTGAATAACGGATGCAGAATTACAGGCGTGATCATAGCCGCCACGCCTATCGGCTCCCGCATGTGCAGCAGCTGCCGGTCGGGTTTGTTCGATGGAACGATGTCGCCGTACGTCCGACGACACTCCTGGCCAAACCACTCGAAGAATGATGCGCTGTACGCCACCTCGCCGACCGCCTCTGCCAGAACTTTGCCCTAAAAGCCGAAAGTCAAACACGGTCACACATATTACGTACTGACAAACTAACCTGCTCTGTGGTTATAAGCTTTGCCAATTCGGCTTTGTTTTCCATGAGCAGGGAAGACAGCCTAATGAGCAAACCGCTTCGCTCCTAGAACACAATGATTCATAAGAATAATGTATTTTCACTACCAGTTCAGATGTTGAGAACTTCAGCTACCGTCGATACATATCCCTGAGCGGAACAGGCAAATGCGTCATGAATTCCATACCTCTGCCATCTGAACTAAACTTTCGCATTAAAAGCATAAGCAAAACCTTAACCTAACTGCCAATTTTCCGTTTCATTCAACACGACACTTTAACGTATAATCCTCTCAATTTGAAATCTGTCGTAAGCAAAACATAACACGGATAACAGACTTCGTAACCTTTTGTTACTGTTTGAATCCTAACATCCATGAATTTTCGTAATTAGTGGGAATCACTATTGCCTATTCTCTACGCCTACACTCTTCTATGCCTTGTGATCTGTCGCCACAAGCATTTATATCTCTTTTAACTCATCGTCCCGTATGAGAAGAGATCTTCCGTGAAGAACATCGGTCATCTTTCGGTCGTACAATCTGACCTACCGATTGTCGTTTCCATTATTGTGAAACTGATACCGCTGGTATATCCTTGTAGAAAGAATTCTTATACAATTTCCTTCTATTTATTGTTGTTCCAACGGTCCGAGGACTGCTTCATGCTCCACCATGTCATATGGTTTAACATATTCGAAAAAAAATTCATGTACATGGGCTGATCGGTACTCATGACACTTTAAACAAATTCTTCGATTTTCCATTAATGAAAGTAACCGTAGCTCGTTGGGTGAATATGTTTCTCTTCATTTTCGTACGTACCCTGTTTATCTAAACTCAAACTTGCATGCTGTTCAACTATAGTTCACATAAACTAGATTCAGCTTCATTTTTCGAGATCACGACAAACATCAGGGATAAATTCAGCACTGAACCAGAACAGGAGGAGGTACCACAAGGTAGCTTTGTGTAGCTTTGCTGTACTACAAGGTTTTCTCACTGTCATGAAACACAAATTTCACTGCCATGATTCTGCCTCGGAAGGCGAATAATTCCAGTGCCTGAAAATATTTCACGGATGATAGAGCAGAAGGGTACCGATATTACTATCTCCGTAGATGAAATTGCACAGGCTGTGAAAAGCTTGAAAAATGGAAAAGCTGCCGGAA